TCTTGGGCACTGCAGACCAACTAAACACCACACAAGGAATGCCACAGGGCACCAGGAGGGCACTTTCCTTGCACTGACCCTCCGCCCACTGTCTGGTCTGCCCTGGGTGGGACATTCTGGGCGGTGTTTCCTCTCCATCACCAAGGGTTAGAGACCAGACACAGTGATGGGTCAGACTCCTCTGGGAGGTTTCCATTAGTGTGTTTCCCCGTGTGTGCAAGTGGATGTGTACACCAGTGAGAGTATATCTGGGGCATGTGTGTTATGCCAGGGCGTGTGTGCACAGTTGAATGTATGTTGATGAGTTGGGGCGCCTTTGCTGGGAGGGGCGTGTGCGCCACCCAGTGGCTATGTGGATGTGTGCGAGTGGTGCATATTCGAGTAGAGACGGATCTGCAGAAGGGAACTGACTGTGTGGGGGCTGGGGAGGAGACTGGCCTGCTCCCTCTCTCTCTTCCTCCCTCTATTGCCCCTTCGCCAGGTGGTGTGTGTGTGTGTGGGGGGGGGGATGGGGGGCGGAGGTTGGGTTAGGATTGGGAACTGGGGTGGGGGGGCACAGTGTCCCTTCCCCTGGCCCAGGATTTGGCAAACTCCCTCCCGTCCCCTTCGCCCTCCCTCCCCACGCTAGAGTCCTTAGATCCAGGAACTGAAAAGTACCTGTGTGACGCTGGTGGTGAGTTTCGGTGTGCGTCCTTCCTGCCCTCGGGCCCTTCCCAAAGAATTTGGGAGCCAGGACCCTGTCCCCCATGAGGGGCTCTGGGGCAGTCCGGGGCCCCATCAATGTTGGATGAGCACGCGCGCTGCCTCTGCGAGGCCTCGATACCATCTTCCCCTGTCTCACTTTTAGTGTAACTGGAGAAGCCAGGGACCGCCTGAGCTTAGGACTCTCGATCTTCTCGCCACGGAGCCACCTACGGGGCCCCGGAGCCCGGGTGGGGAGGCTGGCGCAGGCTCCAGTGGTGCGTTCCAGGACGGGGTGGGGGCCGGCCGGGCTCAGCCTGGCGGGGCAGTGGTCGGTCCCATCCTGGCCTCTCCTGGTCCCCTGGGTCCCGGTGCTGAGTTACACCTCCTCCCCCCTCCGGCCACCTCGTCCTCCTCGGGGTGTCATCTGTCCCGTGGCCTGTCCTTGGGGCAGTTCAGTCCCATCCCCCCACCTGCCTTTGGGGGTTTCCTGTTTGGGAAGGGGCTGGAGGGACCTCAGCTGGACTGTGAGCGGCCCCTGCGGGGAAGAAAGGGGAGTAGCTGAGGCTGCTCAGAGCCTCCCACTGCAGGTGAGTGCCTGGGGAAGTGGAGACAGGGTAAGCCTGGGATCTGGGGACCCCCGCCAAGCTTCTCACTACCCTGATCGGCTTTACTCCAGCCTCCTGGGACACCACCTCCAACCTTGCTCTGGGAGGGGAGGCAGCGGTGAAGTCCGCTGGCAGTCCCTTTAAGAGCCAGGTACTTTTGGTTGTTTCTTGGGCTGAAGGTATTACTTGGCCTCGGTGGTGGGGCATGGACAGCCACTGTGGGGAGCAGTGAGCTTGGGTTAAATAGGCCAACTGTGGCCAGGTGAGCTGGCAGCGTGTTTTTGTAAACAGTTAAATGGAACACACGTACGCCTGTTTGTTTACATGTGGTCTGTGGCTGCTTTCACACTTGTCTCAGTTGAGCACAGCCTGCAAGCCTCAAACATTTACTGTCTGGCCCTTTAAGAAAATGTTTGCCCACCCCCCTCAGATATTCCCCAGTGCAGGTTCCCCTTTACACTACACTTGCCTGTCTCCTTCCTCTCCCCCACACCTGGGCACATTTCCTCTTCCCTTCCTCTGCATCCCTCACCCCCCTAGATTCCCCCAGGCTGAGGGCTTTCCAGCCTGGGCACTTTGCTTTGGGAACCACTCACCTCACCTCGCCTCACTACTCCTTTGCTTGGCAAGGAAGGAAAATGCATGGGGGCCACAAGCGCTGTAGAATCCAATGGGGTGCCTGAGAGCTGAGGGCTGAGCCCCTGCAGCACCCCTGCCTGACCCCAAGAAGAACGTGAGGCCCTTCCTAAGCCACAAGAGCAGGATGAGTTAGAGAAGCAGTGAGCGCAGCTTCTCTGGAACCCCCAAATCTGTCACAGCACCTGAGAGGCTGAGCAGACCAGTTCTGGGTATGGGCTTCCTGTTACCTCTCCCTGTGACTGGGGCCACGCCAAGACTGGGTGATAGAGCCCAGGTGCTCTTGGAGCGGTGAGGAGACATTGCTGAGGGACCAGAAAATTCTAAGGCACAGCCCCTCCCCTGCCTGCTGCCCAACAACTTCCAGATCCTGGGGTATACTGTGCCCCTTTCTTCCAAGTCCCGAGCCTTTGTGAACAAAGCTGGACCCCTTTCCCATTTCCCTTTGCACAGCTGAGTTCAGGGGGTTCTGTTTCAGGGGAAGTACAGGAGCAGAGGGACATCTCAGGGCCCAAAAACAGAACTGCATTCCTGCTGTGCCGTCACTAGGTGGCACCCTCGAGGTGTCGGTTCGTGCTCAGCGAGGGCACTGAGTGTTCTGACACTTGCCTGTGGTTCACGAGTCTAATTCCAGCCTGTCACAAAGGCAGTGGTCACATGCACTCTGGATCTCACCTGGCCTGACCAACTCTGCTTGCGGAGGCTGCTCATCAATGTCTCCAGACTCTGTAGTTCAGGGCATTTTTACTCAGGACTACCTGCAGTTGTAGTGATCAGTTCCTACCTGCCTATTTGTCCTCTTCTACAGGGCTCCTTGAGGGCAGGGACTGTCTTGTTCCCCTCTGGGCCGCAGCGCCTGGCACAGCAGAGAGGGTAGAGGGTGTTTGGTGGTGAATGATATGCTGCCACTGTTAACCACCAAAGTGTGTGTGGTGAATGCCTCTTAGCATTCAGCTACCCTGCTGGGAAGCCAGGGGGAAGGGCCCAGGCAGAAGTGTACACTGGGAGGGGGCTGGGCAGAGGCAGGAGCAGCGTTTCCCCCTCAGGGCTGGTTCTGGGCGGTGCCAGCATCCTACCTCTAGGTAGGATGAGAGGCACCGAGGAGACACAGGCTGTGGTGGGAGAATGCTGCCTGTTTACAGGGAGAGTTTCCAGACATCCCTGCTCTCGTCCAGCACAGGGAGCAAGCACACACAGTTCATTGAGGGGAGACAGAGGCTTCGGTGAGCTCCACACCTATGGTGGCCCTGTCCCCCTCACCTGGCCACAGCTCAGGCCATTCCAGGGGCCTCCCCATTTAACAGGGAACAACTGTGTGGCTGTGGCTGTCCAAGGGGTCTGGAGAGAGGCTTAGAGGGCTGCATCTGTACTGGGAGTATAGCCACGCCCCCTCCATGACCCCAGAAACTGCTTTTGACAGCTAGGGACAACGTCCACAAAGGGCCTCCACCCAGCCCAAGGTGGGGCTGCCACTGGGAGTGAGGTCTGAGGTCTGGATTCTGCTTAGCGGCCGTGGCTGATGGATGGGCGCCCCTCCCCACTGCAGTTCCTAGGAAGAAAGGTGGGTATTTCTGTTGACTGTGTCCCTTTGAGTAAGCAGAGGCCAGGCCAGCTTGTGCCCTTGGGAGGAGGCCCCTTGAAGAAGCAATCCTTTCCCTGATGGGTTGACACCTACATGCAGGTGCCATTTCTCTGCCTAGAACAGGCTCCAGAGTAAGACTGGCATCACTCACTGGGGTAATTACTGGTTTGGGTTCGATTTCCATTCAAAACAGTAATCCCAGCCTGAGCTGGGTGTCAGATCTGAAGCTTGATTATTAGTAACACTTATCAACAGCCTCTCAGCTTCAGGCAATTAATCTGCCATTCCTGCTCCCAGTCGTGCAAAACTGCCGCCACCTCCGTTCCTCCCCTTCTTCTCCCCTTCTTCTCTCCTCCTTCTCCCCTTCCCTTCCCTCCACAGCCACCTGAGGGAGGGCAGGGGATGGGAGCCCCCCTCTGAGTCACTGTCACCCCCGCAGGTAGGGGGCCATGTGCCTGCTAGGCACCTGTCCTCCCCATCAACAATCTTCAAGTTGCAAAGTCTTGTAAAATTTGAATCTGATTCTGTCAGGACTGAGAGGCAGGAGCTCACGTCTCCTGGCTCCTTGTCCTATAATTTGCTTTCAGCTGCATCAGGCTACCCCTGCCCCCAACTCGGTCTGTCTTCCCCTCCAGGCCTGAGACTAGGGTGAGGTAAGTGAGGCATTTACTGTGGTACAGAATCTAAGGGAGCACCAAAAAGCTCGGTAATCCACATAAATAATACATGAATACAATAATTTTTAAAAAGCAAAGTGAATGTAAAAACATCCGCAGTAAACAAAATAAAAAATATAGTGAAGACAGGGTCCAGCCTGGCTTGCAGGACTCCGCCGTGTCACTTGCCACACCCTAATTCCAGCCCTCCAGGACCCTGTCTTTGTTTTAAAAAATGGTATTTTGTTGAGTATATATTTACATTCATTTTGATTTAAATATCATTTATTTTGATCACTGAGCATTTTGTCACTTTCTTAAAATTTGCACCCCAGGAGAATGCCTCATTCAGCTCACCCCAGTCCTGGCCCTACTCCCCCACTTCCTGCTGGGCCCTGTAGCCCTGTCCCTTCAATTCTCCCTCCACTGCCTCAGACTGGGGCTCAGCTTTCGCCTGGGCTGGGGCCCCATCGTGGGCTATCCTCTTTGCATGTCCATGCCTGCTCTCCAGTCTGTCCCTCTAGACCTGCTTCAGCCTCAGACACCTCCAGTGGCGGGGGGGGGGGGCGGGGGCTGCAGGTTGCCATGGTAACTGCTCTGGTCCCTTTGGAGGGACGAATTGGAGGACCGAGCAGCTGGGCTTGCTCCACTCCTCTAATCATGTCCAGCCAGGGAGGGATAAGTACAGGCATGCCTGAGAGTTGCTGATGCACAAATCTCAGAGGAATCTAAGACATTGCTGGACATGTGTGGAGATGGAGAAAATTGTATTTACCTGAATCCCTCCCAGGGAGAGGACAGCGTGTGGCTAATGGAAGACTGTCATGATCTGTTTGTGACAGGGAGGCGAAACACTGAAGTAGACATGGATGCTGGCTAACCAGCCTTCTGCAGAGGGTAGGTCTGATTCACCGAAGGGCTTGGCTTTGCCGTGCAGGATCTGTAAGCTGAGGCATACCTGTCTCCAGAGAATGCACCCCCCACCCCTACTGTACTCTGTGTCCCTTCCCCCTGTGCCCCGCCCCCAGCTATGCTCAGCTGGTCCAAGGGTTAACTGTTTCAGAAAGATCCACATGGAAGGGGTGCCCAGGACACCAAATCGTATCTGGGACTTGAGGCATTGCCATGTCAAGGTCCAGGCCTAGGTCCAAGGTCACCAGGCTACTCTGTGTCCCGCTCTGCCGTGCCATTCTCCACAGTCTCCCTTCTGAGGCCTCCACAGCACCTCAGAGCTGGCACACTCCAGGCCACCAGCCTGGTGAGTAGGTCACCCAGCGCCTGCTCTGCCACTGATGAGGCAGGTCACTTCCCCCAAGCCTTAGTTTCCTCCTCTAAGAAATATCAATAGTAGTGTCCGCCTTCAAAGGCTGTGCTCACTCACCATTAAATCTGCTGACTTGCAAAAGTGCCGTAACCCTGCAAAGTGCTGTGACAGCCGGAAGAGCCATGTTCTGTAGGGCTCTGGAGGACAGAACCAGAGCCCAAGGGAAGTGTGTTTGGGCTTGATCTGAAGGGAAGAAATTGCCAGCCGCAGAGGCGGAGGGACGGCTCTGGAAAGAGTAAGCAAGCACTCCGACGCTGGAAGTGTGCAGCAGAGGTTTCAGAATCACCTGTCCATCAGCTTCGCTTCAAAGGGCTTCCTGCCTGGGAGGTGTGACCCCGGAGGGATGCCCTTAACTCAGAGCTGAAGTTCCCTCATTCTTTTTGTCCACCCTCTCCCAGAGCTCCCCCAGGGCGTCGTGTCGCTGAGCCCGCCTTGGAGGAAGCTGGCTTCCCTTGCAGTAGACACAACTTTTTCCTGGTTCACATTCCCTGGGTTAAGGTCTGGCCCAGTGCATAAACCTGAGGTCTTGGGTAGGAAGGGGACCAGGGAGGACACTGTACTTAAGAAAGTGGGGGCCTGAGTATCAGCTTTGAGATGCCCTTTGGCTCTGACTGGGAAGTCCTTTCTGCCTGCAGCAGGACAGAGGCATCTGAGAGCCTGTGAGAGACAGAGAGATGAGGTCTCTAGTCCCCGGTGGTCTTGCGCATGCACTTCTCCTCTTGGAGCTGCCGTGTGCAGTGTGCAGTGCGGCTGCTCAGGATCCCTCCGCGCTGCCTTCTCCGTGCTGGCTTCGAAGCTTTGAGACTTGTATCAAAGTGCGAGAACGGCAGACTGAGAGTTGGGAAGCCTGGCTCTGACCCTTCCTCCCTCTGGTTTTTCCATCTGAGACCTGGAGGGTAGGGGGTCAGATGCCCTTCTCAGCTGACAGTCTGTGGTTCTTCTGTTTTCTGGAGGCCATGAGCATTAACAGCATGGGCTCACCTGTTCGCCCTCCTTGCCAGCCCCTTACAACCTCCCCCAAGTCCTTCTCTGTCTGTTTGGCAGACCAGGGGCCGAGGCCTCCAAGGTCTAGTCAGGGTGGGGTCAGCAATGTCTGGTTTTGCATCTAGGTGTATTTTCCCCTCAGAAATCTGAAAATGAATCCCCAAGATTCCGGATGATTGTTCTAGGCACTCACTGAAGAGTGTGGCCCAGGGCGGGCAAGAAGGGAGGCAGAGTGAGCTCCTGGTGGAAGACAAGGCTGGGGGCAGGCAGGACTCCGCTGCAGCTTAGACGCTGCCTGAAGCAGTGGGGAGCTTCTGGAGGGTGTAGGCAGGGTCAGGGGTCAGGGGACAGGGTCAGGTTTGCACATAGCCTGTAGCTCACTCTGGTGCCACTGGAGGATGGATTGGAGGGGCCCACACTGGACGCAGCCACCATCCTGATGCCAAGGTCTGGGCAACAGACAGGGTGGCCCTCCCACGGCGGGGAGGGGGCTAGGGAAGGAGTGGCTGCAGGCGAGATGTGCTGGGTAGGTGACTTCAGAAAGCTTTGATGGTTGTCCAGGCTGGCAGGGGAGTGGGAACAGGGAAGGCAGGAAGCTATGGTGATGCCTGCCTGCGGGCTGGGGATGTCACTCACAGAGACAATACATAAGATGAAGGCTCAGACTCCCAGGAAGTCCCACACTGCATCCTCAGTGTGCCGGGCTGTGGGACAACCAGGGGGATGTGTCCAGAGAGCAGGAAGATGGTTTAGATTTTAGGAGAGGGACGGGCCCGCGATGCAGGCATGGGCATTCTTGATATAAGGGTAGTAGGAGTTGACGCCCTGTGAGGGACAATATCACCTAGGTACATTTGCAAGTGGAGAGAGGACAAGAAGCTGTGGACACAGACAAGGAAATCCTAGATCCCCATTGTCCCTCAGAGGGACAGTGTGTGCCTCCCCCACAGCAGAGCCTGCTGCTGAGCCCTGCGTAGCACAGGGCTGGCCACAGAGAGTGTCTGTGAATGTGGTCCTCCACATGGGGCCTTTGTCCTCAGTGCACCTGGCTCTGCCTGAGTTGCTATAGTAACCCCAGATGCAGGGATCGCCCTCTCTGTGCTGCTGTGGAAATTAGTAATTGGGTGTCCCTGAATGGCATGGCTGTTAGGCCTTGGGGACTCAGTCTGGTCCTGAAGGGCTTATCAGGGAGACTGTGAGCATCAGAGAGGGTTCCCACATCCTAATGAATCAGTGATGGCTGTTAGTCTAACTGTTGCCTCAGTGTTGGGGGAAGACACCCTGTGGCTCATGGCAGCTTCAGGACAGAGCCGAGGGAGACAAGGAATTGCACCAGGCCTGGGTGGTTGTGTGCAGCCCAGACAGGACAGCCCCCAAACTCTACCCATGCTTTGGCTGTCATAGGGCCCAGGATCCCTTTGCTTTCTTTGTGGGTTTGCACCCTTTTGCCAAGACAGGGATTTCATTACCAGGAGGCACCCCCCGGCCCATGGGATCTCAGCATTCAAAGCAACAGAGGACACTGGGGCCCCTGAAACGGGGCCATCGAAGAGATCGGTAAGCACTCAACACCCCTACTGTTAGCCCATGGGCCCCACTCCACATCCACTCCACCCCCTCAATAACCTCACCCCTTTGTAGTTCGAAGGTCTCCCCTCCCCCATCACTACATGGGGTCCCACCTTGCATCCCTTCCAAAGCATCAGCTCTACATAGGTGAACAAGGAGGCTTCACTTCTCCTGTCCAGGCTCTCAGGGGGCTCCTCCACAGCAAGTGAGGCCTCTGCCCTGGGCAGCACCTCGCTCCTGCCCTCTGCCTCTACTGGTGGGCTGCTCCTTCCAGCCTCCACCCTGCCCCATGCTTCGTTCCCACAGCTCTGGTCATGACCTCACTCATTCTGGGCTGCCTGCCTGCTGTCCTGGGCCCCACAGAGTGAGCACCCGACGGAACACCCTCCACCCTGATCCCACTTAACTCCCACCTGAAGCGGCTGAGACCGAGGCCCTGAAGGAGGCCTTGAATGACCACGGTCTGGCCAGGCAAGGGGCAGGAATGACGAGGTGAGGCAACGAGGTCGTGGAGTCACCCCTGCTTTTCCTCCTCAGGAGAACAACCAGGAGGAAGTACTGGAAGGAAGGAAGGGAGATCGCTCGGTGAGCTGGCTGGGGTGGTGGGAGCACTGGCTGGGAAAGGGCCATCTACAGGACACTGTGCAGGGAGGTGGCGGGTGGGACATGGGCAGATTGGTGGCTGTGGATCCCGTATATGCTGGGGTGTGTGTGTATGTGAAATGGGGCCCAGAGAAGCATGAGGTCCCCCCAAGTGAAATCTGCACTCATGGGGGCTGTTGTGGCCTCATTTGTTCCTCCTGGGTCCTCCTGTGGTCCTTTTGCCCTGACTCCAACCAGGTGGTACTCATGAGAAGGCCCAGAGTCCTGGGCTCTGCTTCCCAGCCTGTCCTGGGGCTCCGAGCCAGGCCTTGCCTGGACCACTGAGGAAATTCCTTCCCACCGTCTGCAAACGCAGGCCTGCATACCAATTGTTCCGCTGGCAACCCCTGGCCTCAGTTCTGCAGTCAGGAGGTGGGTCTGCTCCCACACTCCTGACCAGGGCTTTGTTTGCTGTCTACTGATGGCACGGTCTGGAGGATGTATTTTTGGCCCAAAGGATGGGCAAAAAACAGCTGCCCTGTGAAGGAGGGGGCTCAGCCCTGTGTACAAATGAGACAAGATGATAGGGTCCCCTTCTCAGCTGTGGTGGGGGTGCTGAGTGTTCTCAGCAACTGAGGAGCCTGCCTGCCCTTCCAGGGACCAGGCCAGAGAAACAGAGGGGCCCCTGGGGCTCTGGTCCACCCCCTCTTGGCTGTTGGCCTGGGTCTGTGATGAGGGTGTCCTGAAGGGGAAGCTCTGTGGAGACCCATGGGTCTGAGGTATGGCCCCATGGCCAGGGCATCCTGTGTTTTGCTTTTCTACACACCTCCTCAAACCAGGGTACTGTTTAGACTAAAGAAAATCTCATGGGGAGAAAGGTGGGAGGAGTGATATATCGCTTGAGCCAACTTCAGGGACTCTTGGGAAAGAGGAAGAGGAGTGTACAAGTAGTGAACCCCAGGGGGATGACTGCTGCATGACTCTTATGAGGCTGGAAGACTTCAACTCCCGCAGGTGCATTCTGAGTGATGTGAGCTGATGAGCCTTCTTCCTGAACCCACCGCCCATACACTGTCAAGGTTGCAAGAGTCTTTGAGATCCAACACCCAACCCCTTGTCTAACAGGAAAAACCGAGGCCTCAGGGCAGGGTCACACTGCAAGTTCATGGCAGAGTCAGGACTAGAAAATAGGCCCCCTGCTCAAGGCTCTTTCTCTGCTCAAGGCCAGGGAGCGAGCCTTGCTGTGTGGGAGTCAGGAGCCTTACCAGGGAGTGAGTGGTCCTTTGGTTGTGACCTTGCTTCACGTGGATGGAGGCCCTGGACATATGTGGACTATGTATCTACTGCTGGTGGCTGGCCAGCAGGCATTCCCGGCCGTGCTGGATTTCTGGGATGACTCGTTTCTGGGATTTGTTGCCTCTCTACCTAGAGCCCCCAACACCACTCTGTCTCTTCATGTTGACAGGCTCTGCAGGTATCCCTTAAACACTGCGCAATGCAAGATGGTGCCAACAGGTGTGATGCTGCACCCACAGTGGCCAGTCCCGTGCTGTGTGTAGGTGGACGAGGGAGGTGAGGAGCCAGGCAGCCTTGGGGTTGAGAGCTCAGCGGCCGTGATTAATGGTGAAGTTGGATGGTTCAGCCACAGCCATGTAGGGATGCAGCAGCCCTTCTCTTCTCTGTATTTCCTTTTTAATTTTTTAAAAGCTTTTACTGATTTGTTTTTAGAGAGAGGGTAAGTGAGGGAGAAAAAAAACAAGCACCATCGGTTGCCTCTCACACATCCCCAACTGGGGAGGGGCATGTGCCCTGACCGGAAATTGAACCTGTGACCTTCCAGTTGGCAGGTTGGTGCTCAATCCATGGAGCCACCCAGCCAGGCATCTTCACTGTATTTTCATTGGCCCCACTTTTCTGGCTCTTTCCATCATAACCCAGTGAAGAAACAAAACAAAATTTCTTGGACTTTACAGTCTCCTTGCTCTCCTACCTTCTCAGCTCAGCCTACTGAAGTCAAAGTCAGTGCTCATTATCTCCACTTCTCACATCCTGCTGTGTCCTCAACGCACTGCAACCTGGCTTCTGCACCCGCGTCACCACCCACGCTTCTTGTGCCCAGGTCTCCAGGGATTCTTACTGTAAACCCGGCAGAAGCCTTTCAGTTCCTAGCTTACTTCCCAGCAGACTGAAGCCCTCTTCCCTTGCATTCCAGGACCCCTACTCTCCGTCCCACCCGCCGTACTGATCAGTAGTTCCGCTTTCTTCATGAGGCTTTCTTCTGTTCCCTGGAAATGCTGATGTGTCTCAGGATTCTGCCCTGCCCTTCTCTCCCTCACGCTTGTCCCCGGTGGTCTCATTGATCACGGTGGGTGGCTTCAGTGACTACCGTGGTCTCACGGATTACTGTGGCTGGCTTCAACGTCCACCTGGGAGCTGATGGACAGAGCTGCTCCTCGGACCTTTCTCCTTCATTTCATTTTTTCCCTTTCAGTTCTGTCAGTTTTGCTTCATGTGTGTTGGAACCTTGTGCTTAGGTGCATGGACATTTAAGATCATATGTGCGCTCAAGAACTTAACCCCTTCATCAATACGAAATGTCCTTTATCTCTGGTAATATTTCTTGTTCTGAAGCCCAGTTGGTCTGATATACCAAATTTTTTGGACTGTAAGATGCACCTAGGTTTTAGAGGAGGAAAATAGGAAAAAGAATGTTGAAGCAAAAAAAGTGGTAAAATATTTAATAACATAAATAATATAGGCCACCTCCCAACCCCCACGAGCCAGGTAAGCTACATTAAGACTATAAGATGCACCTCATTTCCTCCCAAATTTTGGGGGAAAGTGCATCTTATAGTCTGAAAAATACGGTAATATACTAACTCTAACTTTCTGTTGGTTAGTGCTTGCATGGTGTATCTTTTTCCATCCTTTAACCTCTATGACTTCATATTTAAAGTGGATTTCCTGTAGAAAGCAAAGAGACAGTTGTTTCATTTTTACCCATTCTGACAAGTTTGGCTCTTTATTTGGGGGATTCAGACCATTCACATTAAATATCAATATGATTGAGTTTAAATCTACCACGTTGCCGTTAGTGTGCCATTTCTCCAATCTGTTCTTTGTCTCCCTTCTTGTTTTGCTTTCTTTGAATTTGGTATATGTTAATGATTCTCTTTTGTCTCCACTCTTACTAGTTGAAACTCTTTCTGTTGACTTTTTTGTTTGTTTCTCTTAGTGGTTGCCCTGGGATTTACAATGTACATCTTCACCTTGCCACAGTGCACCTCAAACTAATGCCACACCATGTCCTGACACTGTAGGAGCCTTCCATCAGTGTGGCCTTCCGCCCCCCAAGCACCGCCCCCCCCCCGTTTCCTGACCTGTCGCTGTCATGCATTTCTCTTTCACCTCTGATGTGGACCCAACTATATACCAAACTATGCATTGCTATTCTTTTTGCTTTAAACAGTCAGTTATCTCTGTATTGACAACACCTTTATTGGGATATAATCCACATACCATACAATTCACCTGTTTATAATGTATAATTGAATGAGTTTTAAGTTGCGCAACCATCACTACAATTGATTTTAGAAGATTTTTGTTTACTCCCCACCTGCCCCCACTGCAAAACAAACAAACAAACAAACAAAAAACTACACCACGGCCTCACTGGTTAGCAATCACCTCACTTTTCTCTGTCCACCCTCAGCCCTGTGCGACTGATTGGCTTTCTGTCCTTACGGATTTGGACATCTCTCCTATGGACATTTCCTATAAATGGGATCATGTAGTACGTGGTCTTTCGTGACTGGCTTCCTAACTTAGCATAACGTTTTCAGGGTTAATCTTTTGTAGCCTGTATCAGAACTTCATTTCTTCTCATTCCAGATCACATTCTACTGTATGGCTATAAACATTTTATTCATTCATTCATCAGTTGGTGTATATTTGGGTTGTTTCCACTGTTTAGCAATTATAAGTGATGCTGCTATGAATATTTGTGATCATGTTTCATTTTTCTTGGCCATATACCCAGGAGTAGAACTTCTGGGAAGCTCTACTCTATGCCGGGGTCCAGCCTCGGTGGGGTCTCAGTGTCCCTGAAGGATGCACGGCTAAGGTGAAGCGAATGAAGCAAGACACCCAGTGGGGTGCCGGAGGACAGTCAGGCTTTTTGGGCCCGACTGACTCACCGAGAAAAATCAATCTTTATTTTTATAAGGGAGGTTATACAATATTCAATGCATAATGTGATTATTAAAACAGGAACAGTTACCATAGAAATAATTTTGAAGAACACAGAAGGTTTTACAGATCAATCATGTTAAACAAAGAAATAACTGAAAAGTACAGGAGGTTCCACAGATCAGCCATATTAAACAAAGGTTATTTTGACCAAGAGGGTCATTAATCAGATAGCCAAGGAAGCTATACGGGCACAAACTTTCAGGTGCCAATTAGTAACTAGATGTCTATTAAGATTCTAGGGACTGGTCTAAATTAAAAGGGTACAAGGGGTGGTTTATAGGTTATATAGAAATTAGCTATTGTCCATTGAGGTTAGATTTGTCTAGGTTAGGTAACTTTTTTTGCCTAGGTTTTTTGATTTATACATCTGGGGCGGGGGCATGTTTTGTGTTTATTTCCATGTATTGAGATTATTATTCTCAACTAGAACTCCTTGCTTCTTTACACTCCTGTCCAGGGTATGGGAGGGATAGTGGCTCTAATAAATCTTAAGCTTTCAAGTGGTGACTCCCTAAGAAACATTCCTAGCAACAGCTTCCTTCAGCATTCTGGCAGTTGGTCTGCCCATAGTTTAGTTTTGTCCTTAACTTCCCAGGTAGGGGAAGCAGGCAGCATTACGGTTGCTAGGGGTCTCTATTCT